GCAAGGGGCGTGAGAGATGTTTAAATTTACATCTTTATTTTTACAGAGAAAAAATGTCAATCTGGAAAAGAGGTGATTCCTCAGAAGCAATGTTAACAACTTTCTATTTTTCATTTCTTCATGTCTTTGTTTCTGGTGACCGTAATATAATAGTGAATACATTTCTATTCTCAGGTTAATCAATGAGTAGCATTGTCTTGGCGACTAGAAAATAGTAATGTATCACCTTCACTAAAAACAATAGACTTTATTGGCAAAACATTCGTGAAAACAGATTTTTAGGTTCGCAAACCCTGGGTATATACACATCGACGAATTGCTTCTTGACCATCTACTTTTTATCATATCTTATAAATAGTTGTCGGAGAAAATATAAATAACTAAATATGCGTCTAATTTCACGTATTGCTCATGATTGTACGTATGATAAATTTAATTAATAGCAATTTATTAACGGGAACAAGCATAACAGAGCGGGCTGACATGGTCACCCATAAAACAAAATTGCATTATGCAACTACATGTATGTCACATTTGAAATTGTTTCAATACTTTGTATCTCAACGTTCTCTATAATAATAATAATAATAATAATAATAATAATAATAATAATAATAATAATAATAATAATAATAACAATAATAATATAATCTTTGAACTTATTTTTGAAGATACTGTTATGGAATGCGCGACCACATAATAATAACCGGGTATTGGAAGATTGGCTTCGCACGCACTTTACGCTCAACGGACCCGAGTCAAATATTGCTAAGGTATCGTTGACCACTCATGTTATAACTGACAAGCTATTTTGGCATAAATGACATAATGACATAATGATATGTTAATGAATCATGCTTACGCCAATGTTTTACACTTATATTATGGAAACAAAAAACACATACATGTATAATTCAACTATAAACAAAAATCTTGACAAGTTAGACACCGACACGAATAATTACGACGGTTTTGGCCATTTTTTCATCATTTTTTTATCAGAAGTATAATGACACAGGCTGATTACATGATGTTCGTGAAGTTGGCAGCCTAACAGCCTAGCAGCCTAGCAGCCTAAAGAAAACTAGGAATAATACAAACATAATCAAAGCACAGAAAGTACTGAAGTATACATTGCTTGATAATATAATCCATTTTTGTCATCAAAGCCATGTTGATTTTAACCTACTGACCTCGAAAACAATAGGGGTCATCTTCTGACCAAAGTCAATGTCCCTAACAAGTGACTCACATGCACCAAGTCTTTTTTCTTTCAAAGTTATTTATGAGACAAGGAAGGTGTTATGTTCCATCTGTGTATTGCTAAGCAAGCTGATAGATAAGCAATAAAGAAATCATTTTTTGAAACACCCGTTAAATGGACTGCAGTATAGAATATTGAAACAGTCATATTGAGTTTCCAGTGATGCTATCTGATAAAATACATGATCTGGCTTGAACTCTATACAAAGTCAATTAATTGAATCATCCTACAAGACTTAATTACCAAATTATAGTACATCTATGTACATTACTTTCATGCATTAATAAATATATTCCGGTGTGTTGTATTAATTTCTTCACATTAATTTTCAAATGCATTACTTTATCGTTTATTAATAAAAATGAAATCTATAATCAAAACAATTCAAATGTACTGTAATATTTTCATTATTCAATAATTGTTACATATAGTCTTCATGAACAACCTTTTCAAGAAATCCATTTATATTGGATAGCAAGTTAACAAGGGGTTTTCCATAATCAATTTGTGTTACCAACTTCTTAACTTTAGATGAACCATTGAGCTAAAACTTTTTTTTCTATTTTTTGGCCACTGTGACCTACTTCTGATTTTTTTAAGGTTTTATCTTTACAGACCTAAATAACAACGTCAACTTCATTATAAACATAAAGATAACAAAATAGCATATCATAAATAACTCACATGACGTCACTAATTGTCCATAGAAAGCGACATTATTAGCCGAGAAAATGTTCTAAGACTAAGACTACTTCAAGTTTAATCCCGCAAATTTCGAAGCGTCAGAATGAAAAATAAAATAAAGTTCAATATTTAAAAAAATAGGATCGCGATATTGAAATAAAACGTGGAATGGTCTAAGTATGTGCTACCGATTCATTTCCGACGGTTTTCATGTTTGTATTATCCTTAGTTTTCTTTAGGCTACAAGGCTGCCAGGCTGCTACTAGGCTGCTAACTTCACAATTTCGAAGTGTCAAAAAAAAAAAGAAAAAAAAAAAAAAGAAAGAAAATATATCAATATTTAAAAAAAGACAGATCGCGATGCTGAAATGGACTAAATATGTGCTTCCGATTCATTTCCTTCATTTTCGACGGTTTTCATGTTTGTATTATCAATAGTTTTCTTTAGGCTGTTAGGCTGCCAGGCTGTTAGGCCGCTAGGCTTCCAGGCTGTTAGGCTGTTAGGCTGCTAACTTCACAAATTTCGAAGTGTCAAAAAAAAAAAAAAAACAAAGTTCATTACCTAAACAAAAATAAAGATCGCGATGATGAAATAAGATGTGGAATGGTCCAAGTTTGTGCTTCCGATTCATTTCCGACGGCTTTCATGTTTGTATTATCCTTAGTTTGTTTAGGCTGTTAGGGTGTTAGGCTGCCAGGCTGCTAGGCTGCTGGGCTGCTAACTTCACAAATTTCGAAGTGTCAAAAAAAGAATAAAAAAATCAAAGTTCATTATTAGGAAAAATAAAGATCGCGATACTGAAATAAGACATTGAATGGTCTAAGTATGTTCTACCAATTCATATCCGACGGTTTTCATGTTTGTATTATCCTTAGTTATCTTTAACATGCTAGGCTGCTAGGCTGCTTACCTCACAAATATCGAGGTGTCAAACAAAAAAAAAAGTTCAATATTTAAAAAAATAAAGATCGTGATACTAAAAAAAAAAGATGTGGAATGGTCTAAGTATGTGCTACAGATTCAATTCCGACGGTTTTCATGTTTGTATTATTCTTAGTTTTCTTTAGGCTGTTAGGCTGTTAGACTGCCAAGCTGCTGGGCTGCTAACTTCACAAATTTCGAAGTGTCAAAATAAAAAAAATAAAAAAGTTAATTATTTTAAAAAAATAAAGTACGCGATACTGAAATAAGACGTGGAATGGTCTAAGTATTTGCTACCGATTCATTTTCGACGGTATTCATGTTTGTACTATCCTGCTAGGCTGCTAACTTCAAAAATTTCGAAGCATCAGAATGAAAACATTATGTTAAGATAAAGTTCAACATCTTAAAAAATTAAAGATCACGATATTGAAAAAGGCGTTGAATTATCTAAAGGAGTGCTACTAATGTATTTCCGACGATTTCGGGTTTGTACTATTCTTGGCTGCTACGCTGCCAGGTTGCTAGGCTGCTAGGCTGCCAACTTCAGGCTGCGAGACTGCCAACTTTAGGCTGCTAGGCTGCCAACTTCACGAACATGATTATATGATAGATTTCGCTAAAAACGATTTTAAAACTTCAAAGAGAAATGCATATAATAATAAAAAGTAAGTTTTATGTGTTTGATATTTATGTCTGGTTGCTTTTAAGTCGCACCAACACAGTATATGTCATAAGGCGACTTTTAAGCTTTAACAGACCTCAGGTGCACCTTTGTGCATTATTTCAGACACGAACGGGCGCCTGAATGGATCCTCCGACGTTCCTTTAACTAGCAGGATAGCTTCACCAAAGTACCCACAACGATGATGTACATATGGTTTTAAGCTAACAATCGTAAGCACTTGCATGACCTCGGACTGATAATAAAGTATCTTATTTGTTTTCATTACAGTAATTTGTTACTTAACTGGTGTGTAATTTTAGACAACCTAAACCAAAGATCTGTACGGCATTGAATTAGTCAAGCTATTAGATAGACAATGTTCAAAACTGTCCTGGCAAGTTGACTATTTAATTCATGAAAATAATCAATGCTAAAATGTTTTAAAAATAAATGTCGATCTGTATCCTTAAACCTTTTTGAATACGGCGCCTTGTTCTCCACATGGCACTACAGTAGCTTTTTAAGTGTAGGAAAATCTTCGGTTTGATTTTTGTTGTGTGTTTATATGTCGTGACGGACATTTCTTAGTACCTTTTTTGCGGCTTCAGACATCTCTTTGATTCAAGTTATTTTCTTCATTTTGTTTCATACGGAATCCGACACTTGGCCACAACGAGTTATTAAAATTTTTAACTGACCAATATGGGATTAACGTAGTAACGTAAGTCAAATTTTTAACAAAAGGAAAAAGAAATTTCAGACTTTAAGTGTTTTCTTTAAACGCATGTACTTTATACATTATCGGTTGGAAGAAAAGAAAAGTCGGGAAAATAATATATAAGCACGGGCCTTTCGGCATAAAGGCAGGTACGCGTCTGATACGGAGGTGTACCTGTACGACAAATTCATATTGTATTTATCATATCGTGAATGTGAACAACGTGCACTTTAAGATGCATTTTCAATTTAAGTAGTGTCGAAAGAAATACAAATTTCTTGTGAGAATGTCTATAGCTCAAACAAATTGTGAGTTTGTCTGACTTCAATACAAAAATTAAATCCCTGGAGATAATTTGAATCATTATATAGCTCAGAAATATGTTACAATAAATACATATTACTTTGTCAAGAGAGACAATTCTATATTACCTTGTATCGCAGATGGCAAGTGTTACGTCCCCTTAGGGTTATCTGTAAATATTGTATTACAGTAAATTCTTTAAATGTTTAGCAAAAACTTGATTTATCTTCTTCTTTAAATGAAATAAACATAAATCAATACAGATATAGCACGATTTTTGTTGAAAGCATGATATTCAAATCATGATATTGATTTTTAAATATAATACATTACAAAACGTTTAAATTTTACATGATATACATACTGCGTAAAGCAATGAATAACCTTATATACGTTTACTACCTGATCTATTTATAGAACAACATTTTTCGAAAATTCGCGATATAGAATACTGGGTCGTTTGTTATCTAGTGTTTATAGACACCGACAATATGGCGACTAGTAAAGATTTCACAAATATTTCAAAGGATTCTGAGGAGATGTTTGACATATGTTGTTCATCTTGCAGTGACGACAACAAGACAATTCAGGCTAAAAAGTTTTGTGTTGAGTGTGGATTAAATTTTTGCGAAAACTGTGTAAAATTTCATAAGAAAATCCCTTTATTACAGTCGCATGAGATTGTAGATGTGACACAAGTTGGGAAAGGTGAGGTTAAACAAGTGACGAAAGAGCTGCCGACGGAACGATGTAATATACATCATGGAAAATTGATGGACATGTTCTGTAAAGATCACGATGAAGTCTGCTGTGGAGTTTGCATAGCTCTAAAACATAGGTAATACTATTCATTTCCTCTCTGTGTTATCTCAATGTCTTTATGGCAATATCTTTATCATATTCAAATAAGAATATTTTTGCTTATATCATCACTTTAATCAACACAATGAAGGTAGTTAACTATTATGATTACTTTAATCACGTCGCTATCTAATAAGGGCCTTGTAAGCTTACGTCTGATACAGAAACATGAAGCAATGATGTTTTATAAGCAGGTCGGTCATATGCAACACTCAGCCGTGCTTAAATAGATATGTTGTGGAACAGATTAAACATATCATTTAGACACCTATAACATTACAAACCAACGAAGGACATTCAGATTTATTTAATATAAACACATTAAATTGATTGGCTGTTTTGATATGTTAATTGCCAAACACCGTTACTTACTCATTCTTTGCACTAAAAACGTAAAATTCAACATTTGTCACAAAAGTTCATTTATTAATTATTTTCCTCATTATTTCGTTGGTTTTACATATTTTCAGGGCTTGTGTCAACATTGATTATGTACCTGACATAGCAAAAGCTGTCATTAATTGTAAAGAATACCAAATGTAAAAATTCGTTTGCCTTTAATCCCATTACAGAAAAAGAGCGAATCAGGACAGAAACTAACAAACTCGATGAAAAAAGAAAATTATCAACGGTCGAAAATATAAAGGAGACTTATTAAACAGGTAAAGAGAATGGCTGATACAACGAGACAAGAGATTCAAACAGAATTCGAAGCTGAAAAGACAGTCATCACCGCAGATATCGAATCACTAGACATATTAATACCTACCATAGAAATAAGTCTACAAAAACTTTCAATTACCAACGAGGCTCAATTATTTGTGAATATGAAAGCTAGTAAATTAACTGTCAATGATGGTAAGTCTGTTTTGAGTGATCTTTCTTCCTTTTGGAAAAACCTTGATTATACTTTTACGAAGCCAGAAAACGTCTAGAGAAGTCTTTTAAAACCCCTTGTAAAGAAGATGTGCAAAATTGAAGCCAAGCGTAGGGAAATTTAAAGTCAAAAAAACACTGATAGTCTAACTTCTATTACTGGAAAATTTGTCCATTAAATGGATGGGTTTGATTGTTAAAAAGATTTATAAATCAAAAATTAAAACAATTAAAAAGTAACTATGAGGAAAAGATACACTAGCGTAAATGGGAACCAATTGGATTTTGATGTTTAGTTAATAAGTTTGGGTTTAATTATGTAAAACTGGTCAGATACAATTTATTTTAGTTAAAGATAGTATGGTTTTGATTCCACTTTAATTTAAATAGATAAAAGCGCTATGGAATTTTTCTTTAAAAAAGGGAAAGAATTGTTTGCATGCTGTGGATCAAATATAAGTGTATATAACAAACGAGGTAGCCTCCTAAGAGTGTTGAACACTGGCCCTAATGGAGAACAGCTATTTGCCAATTTGAAACAGGTGATTGTTACAGACTCAAGCAATGAGATTGTTGTCACGGATCACAGCAAAGGACTAATATCTGTCGACTCACAAGGTAAAATAAATTGGTTTCTTCAAGACCAGGAGTTGTCAGGAGCCTGGGGTATTTGCGTTGCGTCAGGAGGTATACTATTTGTGAGTGGTTATAGTTCGCATAACATCATACAAGTTGACAAGAATGGAAATAAAAAAGGAGTGTTGCTTGGAACATCAGATGGATTGTGTAACCCCTACTCCATCGCATTTGACAGTCAAAGATCAAGACTGATTGTAGGAATGGATTCAAATGATATACATGTATACACACTGTCGGCTAAAACCTAAGCAATAAATATGAACAATCTTGCCAAGATTACAAGATGAACTTAACTGGTTATTACCACAAAAAAAAAATATCTCGAGAAGGACAAACATAACTTCACTTAGAAGCAACTGACAATACAATTCACATGTTGAAATAAAGCCTGTCAAAAGTAATGAATTGTATATTCTTCATAAAGAACTTTTTTTGAAGTGCGCATATTTAATTGGTGAATAATATCATTAACTAATTAATGGTTATGAAAGCAAGTTGGAACTTTTTTTTCCAAAAGACACCTAAAAGTCAATTTCAGTCAATTATGTTTTTTTTTTAAAAAGTGTGATGACAAAATATAAAGTATTTACTATTTATATACATGTATAATCGTTATCATCTATCAGAATGTTTAAACCTAAAATTGAATTTGCTAAAATTATAAAATAATATATATAGTTTTCAAAATAGACAACTGAAGTTTATATTGACTGTGTAAAATATTGTCATATTTTTCTAATAGATAGTCAGTATTTTGTGAAATGTTTCAGCAAATGTTTATGTATGCTTCGTAATTATGAAAATGGATTTAATTGTAATAAAATATGTAGTTAACTTTCTTTGTGATATTTAGTTACTATCCACCAACATAAAATATTAAATCAAAGGGTTGCAAGCTCTGTTGTATTTTCTGATCTTTGCAATTTAAATCGTGCTGTATATCTGTATGTATTTTCCGGTATAATTTTAATTTTATATACTATGACTCATCTTGCAGGGCACCGAGATGAAGCGGCTGCGTGTAAATTTTTTACTATTACAGTTTGAATTTTATACATACGAAATTTTGCAATGATAAAATCATTTAGTTCATTTTTTTATGACATCGACACTTTATCCTTGCATATCGTGGCTACTTCCTTAAAAAAGACACTTAAAAAAACCTCGACTGGGATTTGAACCTCAGACCTCTCACACCCTAAACGAGCGCGTTACCCCTGCACCACGGGGAGGTTATACCACGATGCCTGAATAAAATCAAATAATTATAAAGTTAGAATTTCCACTTAGGGTTTGTAATCCTAACTAATTTCGAGGTATTTTGTTCACGATAAACCTGTTGTTTAACACTGATGTAAATAATTTAGCGATTATCCTCTCGCCGAAACAGTCCGACATGTATATATTCCACTACTCGACAGTCAGATTTATTTGTGTAATACGCTCTGAAGTCTTCGGTTATCGACTTCGCTAAAAATAGCATTTTGTTATTATATTATCGGATGTAGAAATTGATTATCGATCGTCGACTACCCTAAATTCGTCCCTATCCTAGAGTCAACATAACATCCTTACTTTATTTTTTAAGAAAGTCTATAAATACCAAATGTTCATTTAGGGGGCGTTTAATTCCGATCACAATAATCCTGGGACCGTCTTATCAACGGTCGTACGTCCGTTTTTATCGTACAATTGTCGTACGTCGATCTTACGATTTTGGAGGTGTCTTATAAAACGTCGCAGATTTTCATAATCGTACGATTATCGTAAGATCGTGCATATTTTTCTACGATCGCTGAAAAGCAGTCGTAGATCAAACAAATGGCTGCCGTGCTTCCTGTAAATGCTACAAGGCCGTAGAAAAAGTAGGCCTTTCAGGCATCACTATTGGATTGCCCGAATGGTAATTAAGTTGTGGCCGAATATCAGCTTGGTTAATTTTCATTAAAGAAAAAAAAATCTGGTCAGGAGCATTAATCACAACACAATTACATTAGAATTGCAGACTCGGTTTGATTGAGGTTGTACATGAGGGATACTGTATAAGTGCAACATCACTCACGCCCCCTAGCACCGGCTTGAGCGGTACTCAATTCTCAACACTTAATAGTGCCGGCATCAATGATCCCGAAGGACAACACTGAAGTGAAGTACGGGGCAACTTTTTACAGCTGCCACACAGCACTTGACACCTGCTGTTGTGATAACTATGATTTTAAGATCTTGATTAACAACTTAATTGCATATTATATTTTAATTAACAAATTTTGAAACTGCTTCCTTAATAATGTTATTCATAAAATAAAAATGCTGCCTACAATATTTCCTATAATCCTCACCATAAGAAAAATAATATAAATAAAACTAAAATTCTTATGTAGAAAAAAAATGAAAATAAATATATGATATTTTTTGAGGGGAGTGGGGGCTGTCAGGGGAGGAAAATGATGGAAACGGTTCGAGTGAGAACTGTCAGACGGAGAAACTGGTTAGGGTGAGAATAGTCTGTCATTCATACAAGACATGCGTGTTTCTTTTTCTTTCTGAAAGAGAGCAGTTTGTTCTGAAAATGAAACAGTAAATTCATGTAAAATTGAAATTAGGAAGTGGTAAATGATGATTTATCTTTATATTGCTTTAATCTATCCCAATAAACACATTCAGATATAATGTAAGACTGTTATTAATTTTCTTTAGTACTTAACAACAAATAATGTAAAAAATCAAATATAACAATATGTACATGTACAAGTTGGCTTGTATCAATATTATGTAAATTCTTTTATCATACAGTAATAGATCGATTGGCTGGTATTTCATAGTAGGCAATATAAAAGCCAACAAGCAGTTGAATAAGCAAAGTGGAGTGCTTAACTTCTCAACGCATGCATAGTGGGTTCGAATAACTGTTTATCTTTAATAGTCTGTGATGCATGGCATGCCATTGACATAAACAAAAACAAAAAAAGAAGCTATAAAGATGACAACACTGGCCAACAAAAATTGGAGTGGGGCTAATGGGGGCTAAGCCCGTACTAAACGCAGTCCCAAAAATATTATATCAATGCAAGAGTTCATGTTGTAGCAATCCTTTTATTTAGATGAGAAATAGTTCCCATTCACAATAACAGCATCCTCACACTTATAAATGCACGCATCAGCCTCAAGTCAGCAGCCCAGTTACTTTTTGTGGTTGTAAGATGCGTTAGAATTACAACAGACCTCTTCGTTCAGATTGACATTTATTTCCATTTTGGTGAGTAGGTGATACTGCGCAGGCGTAAGAACCGTACGTCTTTGAAAATCGTAAGATTTAAGGTTGAACGTACGACCGCATTGATAAGACAGTCTTACGATCGATCGTACGACAATCGTAGATCAAAATCGCACGATGAGATTTCCAAAATCGTACGATCGTTGATAAGACGGGCCCCCGAAGCATTATGTAAATAGTCGAGCAATTTTCATTGATTAAAATGATATTCATCCGCGTAATTTGTGATTGTGCATTTATTGACAATTCTATAAGCCAACGCTTCTTTCAAACTTTGAATGCGTTGTTAATATGTTGGATACTTGTACAAAATAAAAAACAATACTTCTTTCTTTGACATCGCTAGTTTTAAGCTGTTTTGAGAACTACTTGTTGTTAGGTATGTTGTGAAGCGCTGTGTCAGAGATTGAATTTCAGCATTGTTTTTCCTAATCTGCGATCAGAAAATACAAAAATGACTCTTTGCCAGAGACATGAATTAGTTGTACAATCGGAAAGTAATCATTATTGATTATCGAATCGGGTGGATACTACCGATTGTAAAAATCGATTACTTAACATTTCACATGAAAAGCTATGATCACTTTAAAAACAAACTAAAATGTCATAGTTTTAATTATAATTATATCATATTATAGTCATATACAATTACACTACAGTACTTGAACGATATAATGTATTTAACACAAGAACAATATTGTTTGTTTATTATACTCTTTCTATAAACTTTGTTCACAAAACCTTGAACTTGAGA